GAGTTTTTTTCGAATTAATGTTAATTAATTAATTAATTAATTACGAAAATAATGCTGGTAAAAAAATATTTACCGATCTACTGTTGGGTTTAACCATGGTTAGGGAAAGTCGCCCAACCGTTGGGCGACTTTCCCCTTCCATATGAACGCAAACCAACAACTACTACTAGCCACGCACGATCGTGCCTGCACGATCGTGCCTAATTCCGAAAACAGAATTTCATTAGTTTTTTTGTCCCATTTCAACCCAAACTCATCTTTTTACTATAAATAAGCTCTCCCTTCTCCTGTTTAAGTGTTACGAGCGAGATGCAACACATTATAAAACATACAACACACATGTTCACAAACACATACATAAACACATACAACTCACCGGTAAAACACAGTACAATCATCAAACATTCATAACAATTAATCATCTAATATTCATACTCGAACACATAAATACAACATACAAGAGAAAATACGTAAAATGTTGTAAATTGTTCCTACAACATCTAAAATGTTGTAAATTATCTAAAATGTTGTACAAGAAAAACTGCAATACAAAAGACAAAGTAGAAGTTGTCATGGTCATCTTGATCACTCGACCTAGGATCCGCTGTCACATGCATGCCTACAAACAAACAAAATTGTATTAGTTAATTTTTACTATTATACTAATTCTTTTTTTAATCATCCATTTTATTAATTAATATGTTTTCATGCAACGCTGAGATGAACTGTGAATTACTATAATTAACACCTTACCCACTAGACCCCATCGTGTCTTGATGATCTCTTCGCACATGTGGCCCTATTATGGCCGGTTTGGTGGCATTTTCCACATCTAACCGTTCCTCAGGGACCTTCATCCATCTCATTCTTAATACGTGTCGACTTAGGTCTTCCCTTAGCCCGAAGCATGGATGGATCGTGCACGATTTTAGCCCGAAGCATGGATGGATCGTGCACGACTTAGGTCTTCCCTTAGTCCGAAGCATGACCGACCTCAAACTCACCTTCGGGGGTAAACCTTTTCTCACCTGATCCCCTCAACCACGCATCAGTAAAGCCTTTAGGGAGATCATACATTCTAGTAAAGTGGGTACACGGGGCAGTTGTCGTGACCGTATCACCATCATCTTCATCAGATTCTGTCATATCTTCACCATTGATGTTGACGTCAGCATCTTCATCACTTCCCTGCCCATCCACAAATGATGCACCGTTGTGCAAATACCTACCATCTTCCTGTATAACCATGTCCATTACAGGAGCATTTGAGGAGTTCCCAACATTCACACCTGCATTGACATAATGCCTAGATACAACATCATTTGATGTTGATGGAGTACGATAAGCGTCACATATGGATTCCTCAATGTATATCTCAAGCATTGACATGTCCTCCATCTGAACTATGGCCCACATATTTGTTATAGCTAGCTCATCAGTGAGGGGCATAAGCATGTACTTTCCCCCGTTCATGGGAAATTTCATTTTCAAACGCAAAGAACGGTTAGGATGAATCATTGTGTCTGTATGTATTTTTTGAAGGATCTCGAGCATGCAAGCACCACGACAAACCATGACAAATGTGGTTGTACCACCTTCATGGCATATTTGACCAGCATCCTCATAATAGTTCCCTCCCCAATGACACACGATTGGGAAGCTTGAGAAATCCATATTCTAATAACAATTCAAATATATCCAAAAGTCAAGATTCACAAACAACTCACATTTCAATATGAAAATACCCAAATTTTGATATCTACATCCAAGTCTACATTTCAATACCCAAATTTAGCTACATTCAAATCCACCCAAATTCCCAAATGTCAAAATACACTTTAAAATTTACAATCAATTTCAAATCAAATTTCAACATTTCATAATCTAAAAATTCCAAAATTTTAACATTCAAAACCCTAAGTTAAAAATGAGATGAAATGGAGTTTGATTTACCTACAAGAAAGAAGAAAGAGTGTTGAAGATGAAGATGGAGGTTTGCCGGAGTGGGGTCGCCGGATATGGAAGTTCGCCGGAGTTGGAAATGGCTCGGTCATCCTTCGTCCTTCGTCCTTCGTAGTTGCTGCTTGGGGGATTTGGGGATTGGGTTTCGTTCGCAGTGTTCTGTTTTGTGGCTGGTCGCTGTTTTTACTTAATGGAAAGTCGCCCAACGGTTGGGCGACTTATAAGTCGCCAAACCGTTTGGCGACTTATAAGTCGCCCAACCGTTGGACGACTTTCCCCCGACCACGGTTAACCCAGCAGTATATTGGTAAATACTTTTAACCCAACCCTATTTTCGTAATTAATTAATTAATTAACATTCATTCGAAAAAAACTCTAAAACCGCTAGATCAGAAGCTTGTCGTCTAGCTTTTTACATTCAATCATATTTGTGCCTGATTGTACGAAAAATCACCAAACATACAAAAAATCACCAAACACCACTTGAATGAACTAATTTGACTTATTTTTATTAACATTTGAAAAAGTAGCTCAAATGTTACTTCTTGGACAGAAAGTTATTATTATACGATTAACTTATTAGTTCGTACAACTTACCCTTCTAATCATCTTCTACGCATTGAAGGATAAGTTCAATTTATATCCTCCCAATGTACCGTCTGGTCGATGCTGGGGGTCCTCAAGCGTGTGCATTCTGGCATATTATCTGTTGCTGGGAATGACGTGACAACACCTCCTTGTGATGCTGGTCCTCACGGATTTGTCTAAGTCCACAATGTTTTGGCCTGACCTTGAGCTTATCGGGGTCAGTAACTGGAGACTCAGGCTCATTGTGAGGGAAGTTGCCTTCTGTCTATTATTCTGCTTTTGTGGTAGTTGACTCCTTAACACTTGACAATATGTGAATGAGATAGGGTGTTTGGGTCCGTCTAAACACCCTTTCATACCAAATCAAGCTTTGGGAATGAGATAGGGACGATTTCCAGTTCGTAACAACAATCAAAACAGATTCAAAAACCACAATGTCTTCATTTCCAAAAGAGTAGCAGGGTTGTTTGAGAAGGGAAAGAAGAAGTACATGCATAGAGTGTAAGATTCCACCAAAATCCGATGGGTTGTGGGAAGAGTTTTGATGGAATGATTCGTGCATTATTGTAGTGTAAGATTCCATCGAAATCCATTCAAATCCCTCCAGCTAAACATTAAATGAAATCTATGGAATAGTTGAGGACACCTAGATTTTGAAAGACTCCACAACAATCCAAGTTGAGGACACTTGGATTTGGATGGAATTCTAAACTTCATTAAAATCTTTTAAAATCGGTGTTGGGACACTCCTAAAGCACCACTTGTAAAAAGCTAAATATTAGGTAGTATATTTCAAGTATTGTTTTAAATTAGTAGGAATCGATATAAATGTAAAAATTAGAGGTATCAAGCGCACTAGCCAATATTGGAGCTCGGATCACGTATTTCTCCCCTCCACCTCAAAATGAATTGCAATTTTTTTTATCAACACATTTTCTCTTTGTTTACTTATTTAGCATATCAACTCTTTATTATACTCAAAAGTCAAAATAATGTGACTTTATAGAACTTTCAATATAGTTTCTGAATACATGAATTTTAATTATTAGAACTAAGTTAATTATACGCAGGGATGATTTAACTAGCTTTATCGTCGATCAACCCTAAGACCCGCAAATTACAATTCATTTAGGAGCTAAGAAGTTCAAAACTGGAAATGAACTTTGTGGGTATAGAATATAATCATAGCGATTACATGAAATTCTAGTTTGACCAAATTGGATGAAGACTAGCTAACAAGTCTAGTTTAAACATGCAACCCTAGTTTCATATTATAGGTGCATCCATCTTCTTATATTTTATATTTTTATAGACAGCATATGACTCATACTTCAAGAAGTGTGACACAATTCGATTAAATTTTCTTAATTTTACTTACATATAGAAATTTTATTTGCTAATCTTTAATTAGTTCTCTACTCTTCGAATCTTAGAAATGTGTAGAGACAACTTTGATTTTTCATGGACGTGTAGGTGCTACTATTTTTAGTTCATGAACAATGTTAATACTCCGTATTATAATTTCATATTTTGGTGTTTTAAAATTATTTGTTGTGTGCTAGCTAGTTTATAGACCAGATTTGTTATAGGACATCGTATATACTATATTTCAATTGTGCTTGAACTTTTATTATATTCTTATTATATAATTGTAAGATTGATTTTTATTTAATTTGAGAATGTTATTACATTCTGGCTCTGCAAGTGCAATATTTTTTTAATAGAAATAGGAACTGAAAACATGAATCGGAACTGATTACTTGGCCAGTATCTATCTACCTATTTATCATATTATCATGCACTAATATCTCAAGATTAATTTTATAATTGGAATGTATTTTTCAGAATAACAGAAGTTACTCTTTATTTGAAGGGAATATAGGATTCCAATTTTAGAATATCACATTATTTTTAATTTTATTTAGGTAAAGTTATGTTTTTATGTTAGTCGTCTTACTTTATCAAAAGGAAATATAGTGCACTTCTTTTCAATCAAACACTTTTTCATTATATATTACCGCGACAATAACAATTATTGTTGTGTTTGAAATTCTTTTCATACATATAAAAGTAATGAACAAATTTTCTTCGTACAAAGCTTCCATATTAGACTTTAGTAGTATTATTATTACCTGTATATAAAAAGGGGTAAGACCGCAAGACTAATGAATATGCATGCACCTTTACTTTAATCCAACCCTTTGCTTTCCGAAAGTTCACATTGCTGTTTAGTAAAGTCCAAGTATCTTCCAAAGTCCTAACTAAACAAAAATGTTGTTTATGGACAGACAATTGTTTGTGCGTGAGACAGACGAATGTACGAAAGATGTACATAAAAATGTGTACACCAAGCACAATCGACATATCTATTGCGTGCGGATTGAGTGCGCTGACGTGCACCGCCAATTTTCTAGACAGGAAACTTCATTAAACCCGCACGGCAAGAATTCCCGTCTATTCTTTTTTATACTTAAGAGAGACCACTAAGCTCCCCCTCCCTCTATAGTCAAGAGAATAGGTAAAGGAGAATTTGGAGTTTTAATCTTCAAGAAAACAACCATGCTCTCAAGCAAACCAGCTTTCCATAAACTCTCTTTCATGTTGATATATACAATCTTCTTTGTATCTGCACTCAGTGGAGCTTCTATAAATGATCACATTGAATCTACTTTCATTCAAGGCAAGCTAATCAAGTGTTTAATGTATTTATTTTATCAGTGCCATGTATGGATGTATGAATGTCCACCTTAATCTTTTGGAATTTTATCAGGGATCTGAAAGATGACGAATTATCAATCCGGAACCTGAAAGATGAAATGTATTGGTATAAGACCCAAATGATGAAAAACTATCAATCTAGGACGTAGGATTTCATAGATTTTGATTTATTTAATTTTTTATTAACTCTATTGCTAATGTTTGATGGGTTTTTCTTCACAAAAGTTTATTATTTAATAAAACTAGATAATTTTTTTTAAATAAAAATAAAATAATATAATTTATGACAATTTAGGTCCTATATTGATAGTTTCCGGTCATTCGTGTCCTGGATCGATAATTTTCCAACGTTCGGGTCCTATATCCATACATTTTATCTTTCATATGTCAGATTTATAATTCGTCTATTTTTTAGGTCCCTGGATTGATAAAATTCCTAATCTTTTTTTATTGTGGGTGTTAATTAAGGTGAACAGATGATTTATTATGAAGTCATTTATTACTAACATTTTGTTTCGCAGTGAAGGATTTCTTTTCCTGTCATATTTTCAACAATATGATGTAGTGGCGGTTTATTTGAGAAAATGGGTGTTTGATGGGAGTAGGTGGAGTTGATGGTGGAGTTTCATGGGGAAACGGAAGGTCTCTACGGCAGGGCAATAGTGGTCAGAGTTCATCCTTAATACTCGCCGCCGATAGAACGCACAGAAAAGACCCGTCTGACAGTTTCAATTACTATACTGGTGGGTGGAATATCAGCAATGAGCATTACATATATGTAAGTGCCTCCTTGTAAGTAAACATATACTTCCTCAAATATAAATGATTTTGTATTGGTAAAAAAATTAAAAAAATTAGATTATGAAAATTTACAATGAGACAAGTTTAACAATATTTTTTCATAAAATAATATTATTACATCAATAAATAAAACGTAGTCAAAGTAGATCATGTGAATAGTGTAAAGGTCAAAGTGTTGCATTTATTTAAGAACGGATGTAGTACGTAGTATGACTGAAAAACGTCTTAATAGACGTCTTGATGAGAAGGACTGCTATTCTCCAGCTCAATGATTGAGTCAATTTTTTGACCGAATGATTCAGTCATGTTTCCAATTAAGTCGTAAATAAACATATATGATTTAATGGCTGAATGATTAAGTCTTCATTCCCATTAAGTTCATTAAATGGAAAGTAAATATCCCTTTAGTCTTATTCACAGTGTTGATGTTTTGGCCTTTTAACTTATTTTGTTTCTCTACCTAGCTACTATTATTTTGGTTTTTTTTTTTGCAATTCGAATGTTTGTTTTCTAACTTGTAATTTGATTAGCTCTTGGATCGGAGTTGAAATGACTAAATGGGCTGAATAATGGCTAAATGAGGTGAATTTGATGAGATTGGAATTAAAATTATTGTAAAAATTAAAATTAAAATTATTGTATCATATATGTGGACTAATCTTCCATCCATAAGTATGTTCTCATCCATAACTTAAAGGAATTTGTATTTTTATTGTGGTTGAAGAGTCATTTCTTGTTGTGTATAACTATGGTATTTATTTGATCATTTAAAAGTTAAAGTACCAAAACACAACAATATCAATAGTTACAGTACTATTTATGCATTTAATCCATTATAATTATCAAGATTTAACTTATTAAGACATTCAAATATGTAAATGACTTATACCACACTACACCTACAGACCTGCCCATAATAATGTCATTTTACAATACATTGATGGTGGTTAACTTAGGCCCTGGTCCACTCCAAATTTAAAAAATGTCAATATTATTAGTGTAAAAAATTTCATCTAAATTTTTTTCCAATAATATTTTTTGTACCGGCTCAGTCTAGCTCAGTGCCCTGGCTCCGAAATTTTAGTGTTGAAAAGTACATCTTTAAATTCACACATAACGCTTATAGAAGTAATAGAACCACAAAACTGAAATTGAAGTTTGGTGCATAACATTGATATTCAAAAAGAGTTTGATTTTTGTGTTTTTACTCAGTCGGTCGCGTTTACTGGCGCTCCCCTTTTCTTCATAGCAGCAGTTTGGTTTGTGGGATTTGGCCTAACATTACTACTGATATGGCTTTGCTATTGCTGCTGCAAAGGAAGGAGCAGTGCTTACTCTCCAAGTGTTTATGTCCTTTCACTTCTCTTTCTCTCCATATTTACCATTGCTGCAATGTAATGCCCCCTTCTTGAACTACCCCTAGCTACATTATTTCATCTGTTTTTTTTGTTTTGTTTTAAAATTCATTGTGTTCTAAACAGCATTGGTTCTGTGGTTCTCTATACCGGATTAGAGAAATTTCACAACAGTACAGAGGGTACACTAGAATTTGTTGTTTCCCAAGCGGATTCTACTGTTGGTAAATTAAGAAATGTGTCAGACGTTCTGGACACGGCCAAAATCACAGGAGTTGCTCAAATATTTCTACCTGAAGCTGTTAAAAAGAACATCGATAAGGTCGACGATACCATCAATTCTTCTGTTAACACTCTCGACACCGAAACAAGGAAGAATAAGAAGGATATCCTACATGTTATTGACCTTGTGTAAGTACTCTTTTCCATTGTGGGTGCTCCTAGCATTTTTTGCAATATTTCTTTTCATCAACTAATGTTTGTTGAATTATTATTATGAACTTTATATTGTGACAAAACTGTAATTTTTCAGGAGGCAGATTCTCATAATTATAGCCGCTCTTATGCTTTCCTTGGCTGCTCTTGGTTTCTGTAAGCGCACCCTTTTTGCTCTAAATTTGTAGTTACATATGCTACCCATATAACCATATATTTGTTTCAAATGTGGTGTAGTTCTTTCCGTGTCTGGCCCTGAATCTCTTGTTTACATGTATGTATCATCCAAAACATCCACTTTCCATCTACTTACTTTAAGAACCACATTCCACTGTATATTACAGTTCATTTCTTGCAGCCTGGTGATCATAGGATGGATTCTCATTGCAGCCACATTGATCTTGAGCAGTGTATTTGTACTTCTACATAAGTAAGTCATCTTCGAATTTGTAAGGCAATAACCGAGCCGAGTATATTAAATGGTGCATATCATTTTCATATCAATTGGTTTTCATTTGACAGTTTTATTGTTCATCCTTATCGCCTACACACTGAAAAACCATTTAATATATTTTGTGTTGTTCAAGTGTGGTAGAAGACACTTGTGTTGCTATGGATGAATGGGCGAAAAATCCCACGGTTCATACAGCGTTAGATGATATTATTCCCTGTGTGGACCCTAAAGCTGCTCAAGAAACACTGTCTCAGAGCAAAGAGGTGACATATGAGATGGTTGTTGTTGTTAATCGTATCATAAACAATGTAGCGAATGCAAACATGCCTACCGGTGCGCCTACTTCGTACAATCAATCTGGTCCATTGGTGCCTAACCTTTGTAGTCCATTCAATTCGGACAACAGAGATAAAAAATGCGCTGAAGGCGAAGTCGAGTTTGAAAATGCACCTGAGGTACATAACTTATAAATCTAGTGGACTTAAGAAAAGTAACAAATTTAAGTCCTAATTTGAATCACCACCTTGATTGTACATCATTACTTGTCTGGTTTGAGACTTCTTTTGGAATCTTGAGTCCTCAACTATGAAATTTGGACACAGTTTAGCTTTTAGCTATATTTGGATGAAATTAAGAATAATTTTTTGCCTGTTCAAGTGGTCAATGATGCGTGTATGGTAAAAAACTATGGACGAAATTAAAGTGGATTTGTAACACAATTCACACATGGGACACTGACTCCATTTTACACATTATAGCGATTACAGATTATGCATCTGTTTTTTGTTGACCACTGTGACATTTTAGTTCTAATTTAGTCTAACAATGGAATGTGACATACCAGTGTGAGTCGACATGAATGAACAAAAGTACATTGTTTTATTATAAATTACTATGTGTTAATTATTAATAATATAGGTTTGGAAGAAGTATGTGTGTAACGTTGGAGCGGACAATGTGTGCACCACGGTGGGGCGTCTAACGCCGGATTTGTACAACCAGATGAATGGTGCAGTTAAAGTGAGTGGTGGTCTCTACCTGTATGGCCCATTCCTCACCGACTTGCTCGACTGCACATTTCTACGAAGTACCTTTAACACGATCCATGACCATCATTGCCCCGATCTCGAACTATTCAGCAAGTGGGTCTACATTGGGTTGGTGCTCATTTCGGCCTTTGTGTGTCTTTCTCTCATACTCTGGGTGCTCCATTCCAGAGAAAGGAGTCACCGTAAGTACACCAAACTTGCTCGCCCTTAAGATCTCCTTTCCATGGAAAATGAAGTATGGTATATAATCAAGCTTGCATGTTGACTATTCATGGAGGAATCAAATAGCTAGTTTGCTTAGGAATTGAGCATCATTTTGTGGAAATCTTCACATATGCTATAATGTATGCACCACCTAGCAACCTTTGATACCTAATTTGCACAAGCATAGACTTTTATCCCACAGACAAATGAGTCTATGTTAATTCCTTATTGGCTGTTTGGGAAAACAAAATTTGATGCTAGTGTAAAAGTTGTTATACAAATTTAAGAGCATTTTGTGAAGTCCTCTTTCTTGGACCAAGTCATGCATGCTCTTTTGGTATGAAGATTCAAATAACCTTGTTGAAGTTTGAATGTGATTTGACTTTACATGTTCTGTAAATTATTGCCCTCGTCGTGATTATCATTTCACTGGGATTGCTTTCCGTTTTGCTAACTCAAACCTCATTTTCTACCAACCCAAAAGCAGCTATAATAAAGTTCAACGAGCATAAAAAGAAAATAAAATCGAAGAATTTAATTCCAAATTCAATAAGTTACTATGAAGCTTCCTCTTATAAATGATAAAGGATACTTCCATCACACTTAAGGGGCACTAACATGCATTAATGTTAGTGCATGAGTGTTTTATCTTAGGATTGTTTTGTGATATATGTCTGCTTATTTCATATCTTGGCAATTTATTGGTTTGATTCCTCTTTGAATGCATGTAACTAATCATTTGTGAGTTTAAAATAGTAGTGGGTTTGTCACATCAAGGAAGAGGAGCTTGAAAGGTGATAAGTCCGTATTTCAACACGCATTTGATGCGTGTTGGAATTGATTTTTATTAGTTTTCCCAGTTTAAATGTGTCACAAGGCTCATAATTAGCTCAAGTCATAGTTTACCGGGTTTTGATGTATATATGGTATTTTTAGAGTCAAAATAAGGGAATTAAGCCCGACATCGGCGTGAGATAATTGATCTAGGAGATTTGATAGGCATTTAAGAGTTGATTAAAGACGAAGTTCTAAAGACAAAAGAGCTATAGGATTGCCCACAAGATCAAATGAAGACTTAAAGATTATTTGTTACTTGTTAGGAAGAAAAGTGACGAAATTGACTTTGGCCGCCAGGGCCGTCTCCAGGAATTTTGGTGCCCCAGACAAAAAATGACTAACGAGATCAAATCGTACTTCAAATTAATAACATAATTAAATATGAAGTAATTAAAAAATTATAACATCATTTTTTACTAAATGTAAAAAGAAATACTTAACTTAAAATGGATATAAAGTATGTGAAAATATAAATTCTTCGAAGAAATAAATAAAATTATAAAATTACTACCTAATAACCTATTCTCCTTGCTTTTTGATGTGCGAAATTTGTAAGTACATCACCACAATCAAGAGTAGATAACACTTTTTTTCTATAGATAGCATAGCGAGCCCGCTTACTCTCTCTTGTGACATTGTTGAGCGGAGATAGTTTTTTATCAACTTCAACTTTGAAAAACTTCTTTCGGCAGATGCAACTGTCACGGGAATAGTTAACAAAATTCTGTAAGCAATCTAAGCATGCGAAAAAGAAATACACATCTCTCTAATGTACTCCATCACTTCAATGACTTTTTTTTATCTTGAGGCAATGACTTGCTTAACCATTGAAGTTCCGAAAATAACTCAATTGAATCAATACTGCAATCATCCTTGTGCTTCAAAAAAACTCCCAAGGGTATAACAAGAACGAGCCAACTCTTCATCACTTATTGTCCTTAGCTTACTCAAATTATACAAGAATCCAAAAGTTTCTTCATATTTATGTAATTGTTGAAATCTAGTTTTCAACGAAGAAATAGCATTATGAACAACTACTAAGAAATATGCTCCTCTAAACACATCTTCTGCTGACTTCATTGGCTCATCAACTGCTTTCTCATCAAAAACTTCATTTTGGTTCGAATACGGATGTCACGAAATTGAGGTTCAACGTGTAAATCAATGACAATATTTTGAGCTTCACTTTTGGCTTTTTCAAACCCTTCTTCTCTATATTCTTTGAAAAATACAACCAATCCTTTCAAAAGATTTAAAGCCACACCAACATCCATATCTTTTTGTTGAAACACTTTGCTGATTTTGTTCACTTTGTTTAATACCTCATACCAAATTACCATACTAACAATAAAATCAAAGTTCATTTCATATTCAAGCAAGGACTTAGCATCACTCACAGTGCTAGCATCATTACTAGTTTTTGTCAAATGCTACAATGCTTGTTGTATTTGTGGTGCCTGAAATCTGATTGCTCTAACGCTAGCAATACAACTTTCCCAACGCGTATCAGACCACGACTTTAGAGTAAGACCTTTTCCATCGCGATCTTTGAGAAATGTTTTGAAAATCTCCCACCTTTTTGTTGAACCTGAAATTATTAATGGTCACAATATATTATTAATCAATAATGAAATAATAGCATTTATAAATACAAAGATAAATAAATAAATTAATAAGTAACCAAATAATAAATGAGCTAATAGATAGATGGAGATGCACCTGAAAGTAATTTGTAAATTCGTTGTACAACACCAAAAAAAGTTTTTGCTTGTGGACAACTCAATGCCATGTCACAGAGGGAAAGATTAAGAGAACGACAACCACATGGCGTGTAAAATGCTCTAGGATATTCTTTTAGCACTCTAGCTTGCACACCTTTATTGCCCCCTTTCATGTTTGAACCATTGTCATAACCTTGTCCTCTCATATTACTAAAATCAAGTTCATGGGTTTGCAGAAAGCATTTAAGCTCATCAAAGAGAGCCTCTCCCGTTGTCTCAACTATCTTCACAAATGTAATGAAAAACTCTTCAATTCTTACCGGAATAGTAGACACATTGACACATCTTATTATAAGTGGCATTTGCTCCTCATGACTCACATCCGGCGTGCAATGAAGAATAATGGAGAAATACTTTGAATCTCTAACAACTTGAAGGATCTTCTTTTTTACTTCACCTGCTAATAATTGTATCATCTGATTTTGAATACTATGACCAAGATAATGATTCTGAATCACTTTCTTGCGTATATGCCTAAGGTGCTCTTCCATTATTGGATCAAACTCGGAAATCATATTGATAATTTTGAGAAAGTTTCTGTTTTTCTCATCTCCAATCTTTTCATTATCATCTTGAAATGCAATATTACAAGTAGCAAGAGTTTTAATAACACTCATGATTCTTTTCAACACAGCTCTCCAATACTCCTTCTCTTTATCAATCACTCTTTCCGGAAAAACATCAATGGTTGTCTTCTTTTTCAGTCTTATTTCTGCTTCTCTCCAAGCTTCAATGCTACGAATATGATCATTGCTCAACTCATTCTCTGCAAGTCTATGATGTATATTGTGTCAATCGTTATACCCTTCACCTGAGGTAGTCAATGGGCTCGATACTCCACCTTTCTTAAACAAGATACAACAAAAATAAAAGACTTTGTTTTTTGACATTGAATACACTAACCATGGGCGGATGTATTTTTCACCTTGTTGGGATATTGACCTAGAGGCCCAATACCCAGATCGGGAAGGCCCAAGATATCCGGCCCAAGCAACGGGCCCATCACTCTATGATGAATAGATCCAGTAAGAAGACATACCGAATGGAGTTCGGCCCAAACAAAGGTTGGCCCAGTAAGAAGACATACCGAACGGAGTTCGGACTATATATCATACTTGGGCCAATTTGACAGTATCTCCAGTACAACCCAATATCCCATTCGAGCAACGGCCAATCAGCAAGTGGCCGGGTGCAATTAATGCCAGACTGTGACATCAGCAAGTGGAAGCATGGATGACCAAGTCGGTGGAACAACGGCCAATCAGCATGGCGCAGCCCATGCTCTCCATTAGTATAAATAGAAGGTTTCAGGTCATTGTAAGGGTTAGCATTTCAATACTCAGGCTCTAGAATAGCATCATTGCTCTTATTTCTTGTATTAAAGCATAGTTTCCGACCTACCGATCGGGAAATTCCTTGTAATCAGATTGGTTAATTAATACAAGTGAGCTTTCGAGTGTTAGTTAGTTCAGATCTTATATTTCTTTACACGCTTTGATTCTGGGTCATTCCTGATATATCCAAAGTTCGTGTTGGGCTTTCGGATCTACGTGATTTACCCTCAACACACCTTTTGTCAAGCATCGAGTATAATGTTTGTCACTAAAACTCCATTTTTTATTAGTGATAACCAGTGATGGAGTATATGGCCCGGGAACCCCTGGCCCACAGACTCCTACTACTCCAATAAAGGCCCAATAGGCCCAGGAAGCACAACAGGCCCAAATCACGGCGCCCAGGGTACCAGGCAGCCCACAATGCGCACCAGGGGTGCCTTCGCCCCCCTGGCCGAAGGCTCTGAACCTCACAGAATGGCCAAAACAGGAAGACAAGATTACTGGGAGAAAACGGCAAAAATCAGTAGCCCTCGGCACCTAGAGCCCACGACACTAAGGGGGTCCCCGGCACTCAGAGCCCTCGGCTAATCACCTACAGCCGAGGGCACCTTTTCCGACATAATATCCGCTCCACATGCGTATAGATCACCGTACCCAGTACGACGTCACATCCAACAGCCGCATTAAATGCGGCCACCTGCGGTTGCCAGCGCCAACACGTTGAGGTGACCCCTCGGCCAATGGGTGCTTGACACGTGTCCCTGTCTGGCATTTATTACTACTATAAATAGCACCCCATTTCCCCGTTGTAAACCACGCTGAAAAGGCTGAATACACTTTCTAATATACTCTCTCTACTTACTTGCTCTGACTTCTCTCTAGTTATTCCTCGTAATAACCTCTCGGATAAGCTACCCCCCGGGTACACTATCCATCAACCAGTAATTCTTATTGAGCCCATTTCAACTAGAAAATCTTTTTCTTATTGTGAAATAGGTACTTTTCAGTTACCTAGATCACATAACTCGGTCATATCAAGAGTTACAAGCAACACATCTACAATATCATTGTCAACATCAACATCGGCCTCCTCATCATCTACAACACATCTACCCTCATCCTTATTTTCATTTTTGTTCTCAAGTTGAACACCAATATTTTCATTCTCATCTTTATCATTTGCCTCGAGATTTTTGTTTGAGGTCGATGGGGAAGGATTTAATTTTACATACCTATCCATGGAACCCGCAAAAGATTGCATTACTTCAACTTTTCTTTTCTTAATTTTTCTCTTTGAAGCCCCCGACTCTTGTTTCCTTTTTCCCGTCATAGTAGACACTACAAAATAATAATTTAGCACTAATTATTAGGTATATTACGGAAAGATCGTTTAAAAAGAACAATTTCAAACTAAATTTGATAACCGAATAACTTAAAGAAAATTAAAAAAAAAATATACTATCCTCCGTTCCATAAAAGTTGCAACAGTTTGACTCACGTTTGCCAACGCGCAACTTTGACTATAATTATATTTATTTATGTATTAGTAAACATTAAAAAAAGTTAATATATTGGAAATTTACATTAATACAAATTTATTAATATTTTATACATAATATTTTTATTATATATATTATTAGAAAATCGTAGTCAAAGTAAGATGTGTGAATAGTGCAGAAATCCCAATGTTGCAACTTTTATGGAACGGAGGAAGTATATGTAACACAAAATTTCAAGTTTAATACAACTTATAAATAATAATTAATAAATTGGATGTACAATAAGTCTTTATCTGGTTTGTAGTTTGCAGACGGAATGGGTAGTGTCGTAGTGCGGTACTGCGGTAGTGGCTAGTCAGTAGTCAGCAGTCACGTCCCTCCATATTTTTTAGCTAACTAGGGATTTTTAAAATTTTAATTAGGTGTCTAGGCTACTAGGGTCTAGGGTAATAGATTACTATTATATTCCTTCATAATTCCTATTGGGCCATCCGGTTAGGCAGTAGGCTGACAGGCTGTGCTTCTCAATATATTTTACACTATTTATATTACTCTCTTCGTTCTCTAATACTCCAGGTAAAATCATCACATAAGTAGCATCCATTGATCTTCCAGATTTAGTAACCCACCATTTGATTAATTCCAATTTGATGCTATTGACAGTCACCCCTCTATGTAACAGGGTATTCAAGAAGAATGATCAAATAGAATGGGCTAAAGGACACAACAATATGATATGATCTTCTGTAACACTCGCCCTTTTGCAGAAAGGACAAATCGAGGGACAAGCAGTTGAGAAGATAGCAAGTTGCTCAGGGAAGGGTAGACACTTATTCCACAACCTCCATAGATTTTTTTATTTATTTTAGGCACTTGCTTAGAATTCCAAATGTGTGAGTTGGGCAGAGTCCTCCCCTCCTGCGGCCAAAGAGCTAAGTAAGATGATTTTGTTGTAAAAAAATCCCTCTGATGTATGCTTCCATGTAATAGAACTAGGGACTCTGTCCACCATGGCTTCTGCCTCTTCATGTACGAGGCAAATTCTCCTTCAGGAGGGAGAATCAGTAGTTTTTACCTCACCTAGTTCGTGTGCACCATATCTGCTCCTCATCAGGTCAGCCCACAAGGATTGACCTTTCTGGTCTCCCACCATAACTTCATGGCTGATATTTTTTGAATGTCAGCTATGGCCCTAATGCCTAGACTACCATTTTGCATAGGCTTGCAGATTCTTTTTAAACAAGCCCAATGATATTTTGGCTTATTATTTCTGATTCCCCAAAAGAAATTTGCAACCTTCCTATTGATCAAGTTCACCACTGCCCTTGGAAGATTAATAACAGTCAGGACATACAATGGAATGGAATTAAGCACATGTTTAATCAATATTAACCTCCTGCCTTGGGATAGAATCATAGACTTCCAGTTAGCTAACTTTTTATCAAAAGTTTCCAACAAATCTTTGCAATGTGCTAACCTGGTAATGCCCCTGTGAAGTTGTACCCCAAGATACTTTATAGGTAGCTTGGCAGATTTCATACCCAGCTCATTTTCTATAAACAAAACACGCCCAAGAGTAGTATTCTTACCAACAACAAAACTGCTTTTTTCTTTATTTATCAATTGACCAGATGCATCCTGATAAAATTGAATAAATTTCTTGAAGTTTTTGATAGACCGTGACGAACCATTCAAAAAAATTATAAGGTCATCCGCAAACGCCAGGTGAGTAATATGAGCTCCACGTCCAATATTGAATCTTTCAATATCTCCTTTATGCATAATCCTATTCAATCCTCTCGAAAAAGCTTCGGATACAATAATAAAGAGCAGGGGAGAGGGGATCCCCTTGTTTAACTCCTCTATAGGGCTGAAAAAAACCACAGGGTGCGCCATTGATTAGGATTGAGATATAAGTACTCCTCAGGTTTTCTAGGATCAAGTGTATGATTTTCAAATCAAAACCAAAGCTGCCAAGAATAGAGCCCAAAAACTCCCAGTCAACCCTAGCGAAGGCCTTAGCCATATCCAACTTTACCATAAGATTCGAAGCCCACACCTTTTTGTCTAAATTGTGTAACATCTCAAAAGCAATCAAGACCTGGTTGGAAAGGTCTCTCCCCCCCATAAACCTTGATTGTTCTTTTGATATAATTTTAGGTAAGAGAACTGTCATTCTTGAAGCCAAAATACGAGTATTAATCTTGCTAAAGAAAGGGGAAAGACAAATAGGCCGAAAATCTCCAAATCCTGTGGGATTTTTTTTCTTAGGGATTAGAACCATATTAACACAACCCACTCATTTAGGAATAGGAAAGCCCAAGAAAAATTCCTGCACCACCATAACCACATCCCTTTTGATAATCTCCCAACACCCTCTGTAGAAACTCCCTCCAAATCCGTCAGGCCTCGGAGTTGCATCCTGACTAAGACCCCAAACTGCCTCCCTAATTTCAACCTCTCCCGGCAAGGCTAAAAGCATATCATTATCGGAATCATTAAGAATATTAGGAATATTCTGAAGCATCTTCTCAAAATCATGGGTCTGACCTTTAGCGGAGAGACTTGAAAAATACATAACTGCCTCCCTACCTATCTCTTCTGATGCATAACACCACTCCCCATTAGACTTCTTTATGGCCTGATATGTTGCCTTTGAACCTTGTTACACACAGTCTCATGAAAAACTGTGTATTAGCATGCCCCTGTTTTATCCATTTAACATTTGCATTTTGTTTCCAAAAGGTCTCTTGTTGCTTTATCTTCAAGAGGAGCTCTGCTTGCTTTTGTGACAAAAAGCCCTTTTACCTTCTATATGATACTCTTTGTATTCCTTTTCTGCTGCAAGAGCCTCACCTTCTATATTGCCAAACACCATGTCCTAAGATCTTTTTTTAAATTTTGCAACTTAGCACACAGTCCCCTCATACCCCCAACCGTGGGGTAATCTTTCCAGTTCTTGTAAACAAAAGGCAAGAACTCATCGTGGGAGAACCACATATTTTGAAAACGAAATTGTTTAGGGCCCGAATATGTATTAACTTCACACAGAAGGAGTGGGCAATGATCGGAGGACGTCTTACTTAGGTGCTGAATGTGAACTTCATCAAATTTTTCAATGAAATTCTTGTTTGCTAAATAACGGTCAATCCTCTCCCATAATGTACCGTTCGAACGCATGCCTGACCAAGTATAAGTCGATCTGATCGTTGGCAACTGAGATAGCTCGCATTCTTCGATACAATCCTGAAAATCTAGAATATCATTTAATGGAGGACTTGACAGCCCTTTATACTCAGAGATTGATGAAACCACGTTAAAATCACCACCCAAAATCTACGCAGAATCATCCATATTTGCGTACTCAGTTAACTCTGCCCACAGATGGGCTCTATCCTATCTCGTATGGAGCCCATAAATAGGAGAGAAAGTAAAAGCAAAAATCAAAGGAATATACACCACCTTGGCGAGAAGGAACTGATCTTTTTCCACAATGGATGAAACATCACTCACAATCATTCCACAAGAGCCAAATTTTATTTGTAGCCGACATATATAGGTTGGAAAAACCAAGATTACACATATAAGAATTACCTTTATTTTGATCAATGAGAAGTTCAATAACTGTAACCAAATTTACCGAATAGTGCCTGATAATATCACGTAGCCTCGGGCACAAAGAGGCGAGGCCATGGAGATTCCATGTAAGTAGCTTCATAGGGAAACCAGTGAGGAGGTTTCCGTGTTGGTCCTCTTGGCCGTTAAACGTGTAGTGACCGCCACAGGAGGATAATTTTCTTTGATTTTTCGTCTTCCAACCAACCTAGCTGCTTCTTCCTTATTCTTAACCGTTTGATTTACCCTTTCTTGTAGTTCCCTACAAACCTCCTCCCATGACCCTTGGTCAAATTCTCCACCTCAATTGTTTCCCCCTCGGACACATATCAAACATGCATAATGATTGTATGTTCTTCTCCCCTCCGTAAATCCCTTTCCTCAAAGTTGATAAGTTTAGTTACATCCGTAGCATGAGGCACTTCCTCCAATTTTGACCTCTCAGTATAATTTGCATCACCCAATTCATTTTGAAACTCTCCAAGATCAACCAATGGTTGAGGGGCAGTCTCCTGTGAATCTTGTGAATCCTCAGCCACTTGCATGTCCTTTTCTGGGATTTCAGCTACCTCTTTAGATCCCTCCACTAACATAATTTCATGTACCCCTACTGAATCATTACGCACAACCTCTTGTGCATCCCCCTCCTTGGGTATTGAAACAATAGCTTCTTCCCCCCTACGTGAGGATTCTGGCTTGTCAAAAACCTCACCCACCTTCTCTTTTCCATGCTTCTTTCGAGTAACTTGGATCCATTGATCCGGAACCTTTTGAATGGATTTCCCGACATCCTTTTTTGTTATAGCCCCTCCCAATTGCACCTGCTTATTTACCCCTTCAATCTTCTTTGGTATCCCACAGTTGCTTTTTTTGTGTCCAATCTTATTGCATTTTAAGCAATAATCCGGTAAGTCTTCATAGGTCACCGTCTAAAAAATTTCTTTGGATCCATTCACGATCAAAACTTTAGAGGGGATTTCTTGTAGCAAATCCAACTCAACACATACCTTTGCAGTGGATGGCCTCGTGAGATTTGTCGTCGCAGCATCTACTTTCAGGGGCTTTCCAATCATTCCAGCAATGTAGAAAAGGGCCATTTTGTCATGCAAGTGAATAGGTAGACCTTCAAACGTGATCCATACCGGAACGATAGGCGATTCCACATCAGGCCTAAAATCTGGAGTCCAACGAGTCACCCGCATTTTAAACCCTCGAATGTTCCATATTTGACGAAGCCAGCACCTTTGGAAATCCTCCTCCATTAAGAATTTTAATAGAACCTGACGTTAATCGAGGAGTCCTAACGTGATTGGTCCTTGAAATCCAATTTTGTCGAATTCCTGGCAAAGTGTCAGCATTGGAGGCCTTCCTCGAACAAAGGAACCAACCAATGCAAACTTATGTTGAGCAGCAAGGGTGGAAACTTCTTCATAAGAAAAATGCACTGCCAACATGCCACGATGCCGATAGGGTGTTTTCAACGGGATTTCCTTATTCGCAACCAAGACTTCTGCAAAAGAGCGCATTGCCACCACCGACCCGCTGGCCGGAGCGGCCCATGCACACGTCGACACCATGAGTGTCGCCGAGCACACCTAGGGTTTCCTCCATATTAATATATATAATAATAGCTTTTTATTAAAAAAATGATGCCCCTCTTGGAAGTGGTGCCCTAGGCAAGTGCCTAGGTGCCTACCCCCGTGGCCGGCTCGGTTGGCCGTCCACACACGTGTGCATCCTAAAGGTTTCTGTTGCGTGCACATGGCCGTCCACACACCGTGTGCAGAACCGTGTGCATCCTGGAGGTTTCTGTCGCGTGCACATGTTCGTTCACACACCGTGTGCAGAGTAGTGTTCACATTCGAAGCTACTATTCATCTGAACATGGAAGGCTTGGCCGCGCACACGACTGTTCACATGGCCGTGTGGACGACCATGTGCGACAAAAAAATGCCCCAAAAGTGTATTTTTCTATTTCAGCAAGCTTTAAACCCTTATTTGAGGGAGGAGTTTTAGAAAGAAGTTAGAGGACGAATTTCTCAAGGTTTTTGAACTTTAAATCTACAATATTTTGGGATTTTTTGTGATAGAGTATATGGGTTCAGACCCCATAACCCACATACTCACTAAGGAAGCACAGCCGTCCGTCGCCCAGTGGTACCCCGTCGGCCAGATGGCACCCCATCGGCCAAATGAGAATCAATCCAGAATATGGTCCGGAAGCCTAGGAGCAAGACATGGTGCCTCCGTCGGCCAGGCCCTCTTCGGCCAGACCCTCGTCGGCCAGACCCTCGTCGGCCAGACGCTCTTCAGTCAAGGAGACTTCGCAGAGCCAGACATCCATACTTAGCTAATACATTCGAATGTACTGAGCCCAATAGAGGCCTTATATTGTAATGGGTCTCCCAAGCCCAACACTTGGGAGCACATCCCATAATTTCCATATAAATACTCCTATTGGGGGTAGTTGCAAAGTGTTAGCAAATATATTCATTGCACTTCTCTCTCTAGCTCTCACTTCTCTCTAGAATTTAATACTCTATCATTTGGTACTTTCATTGAGAGCTAGAACAATCAATTTAACATCCTTCGTCGCTACCAAGCACAACTAACTGACTATGGGAAGAGCAAGATCAAACTGTAACCTCATCGGCAAGGCGATCCCCGAAACTCAGGAGGATCGAGAATGCTCTTGCGACGCTACGACCGACAAGGTAGGGGACGAGGAGAACTTCCAGGAGATTATTGACCCCATAGCTGACCTCCGCAATGAGCTTAACGGCAACGCTCAAGACGCCTGTATCGGCCTTGAGAAGAAGCGCATTGACAAAAGTGACCATGCATCAGGGCAGCAGGATACTCCCACAGTTGATCCTCAGCTCCAGGCCGCCTTATCGGCCACCATCGTCAGTCTGGCTCAAAACCCCACCGTCCTCAGCGCGTTGGTGCCAAGGACGGGGGAGAACACAACGCCACCACCTCCCCCTCCTCATCCTTTGATCACTAAGGTCGGCAACGATGAGGGGGTCAGGCCCCAGGACACGGCCTCCCGCTCCGATCCTGGTTCCCCTCCTCGAGTTGGACCGACCTCAGCGTGTGGAAAAGCCCTGACCTTCGATAGGCTAGGTGACACGCACCGTCGTTCAGCATCAGAGAGGATGGCAGGATGGTTCAGGGAACGTGAGCCTGTCTCACCAAGGGAGAGCTTGGGGTCCGTATCCAGGACAACGGAACGACCCCGTCTTGACAAGGGCAAGGGCAAGTTACATGAGGGGGGCACACGTCACCAGATCAATGCGGCTCACGCAGTCCAAACCCAAGGCGCAATCAATGCGGCTCACGAGGTCATCGCCCAACTTGAAAGGAGGCTCGCTCAGATGGAAGTAAAGCAAATGGCCGGTACATGTACGACCGTTACCCTGACTATAATGCCCTTCTGCACAAGGTCAGCGCCTTGGAAAGGGAACTGGCCGAAGGGCGCGGTGACCCCATCATCCAGATTAGGACCAAAACTCCCTTCACCGCCAGGGTACTCTCGGCCCCAATACCCGATAAGTATCAGGGGAACGCTATTAAGCCCTACGACGGCCGCACCGACCCTCAAGAGCATTTCAGGCGCTATCATAACAACATGCTGATGATGAACGCGTCGGACAGGTACCTCTGCCATTAGTTCCTTTCCACTCTCGAGGGACAAGCGTACGAGTGGTTCAACGCGCTACCTGAGGGAAGCGTAGATTCATGGCAATATCTCGCGCATCGCTTCCTCACTCATTTTGCCGGAAGGAAGCACACGAAAAAACAGTTCTCCCATCTCCTCTCCATCAAACAACAGCCCGATGAAATACTTCGGTCTTTCATCGACCGAAGGACAAAGGAGACATATGAGGTCGAAGGTGCCGATGATCGCACCCTCCTCGCCCTCTTCCAATGCGTTCTCCGCAGCAGCCCCTACGCACGGAGCCTCATCACCGACCCCCCGAGGTCATACACCAAGGCACTCCAGCGAGGGAGCCTGTATGCTGACGCCGATGCACTCCACTCCCACAAGAAGGATGGAGGCTAGCCATCAAAGAAGACAAACAATGCGCCGGCTCCAAGCGCACCCTCGGCCGGGGGCCAAGATCACAGAGGCCAGGCCCACCAGGCTAGAAGGAGCACCCATGGCGGCCGAGGTTGGACATGCCAAGGACCTCTCTCACACACTCAGTGAGCACCATCCTCAACTATGCATAGGAGCAAGATCTTTTTCCCAGGGATCCTCGGTCGGCGAAAGAAATCTACGCCGTCCACCAGGGCAACACTTATTGCTATTACCACAAGAACACCTCCCACGATATAGACGATTGCGTCGCACTGAAGAAAGCCATTGAGCACTTGATTCAACGGGCTGAACTCCACCAATTTGATAAAGGCACCCCAAGGAAAAACACTTGGGTGAACACTGCCAATCAGGAAGGGGACACCTCGGCGGAGAAGCGTGAAGTTGGGAGGCTCAGCCATGACGAGGACTTCGAGGAGCCCCACCCGAAGAAACGTCACATCCATTGATTGTGTCCTTCACCGAAGGGAAGCCAGCAAGCCGAAGGAAGGCGGAAAATTAGCCCTCAAGATACGAAGGGACCTACATCATTAGTGACGCATCAAGAACGACGCGTACAAACTCACACCCTAATGGGTCAGAAGCTCTCAGCAAGCCGAAGAAGGTGTAGAAGGGCAAAACCCCCACCCCAAGGTCAGAAGCTCATCGAGAAGCTAACTCCTAAATGGGTTGTTGATAAGATTACCACCCTCTGCTCGAGCCACTGATCTTAATAAAAGTTGTGTTCTGCTTATTTAAGTAAAGGATGTCATGCAACAAATTAAAGCACATCGTATCGGCCCCTTGGAGGCGAAGCGCGCAGGTATGGACGACGATGTCCAGGACAAAGGGGCCACAAAGTGGCCCGCGTCTTGAAACGAGAAGCTCATCGCGTCGTCCTCGCGTAATACGTAGGGCGGCAAGCCTGAAAGAAGGTCGAGGTGACAAAATCTCCACACTTGGGGTTGACAAACGACATCCGTCAGAAATGGACCAATAGTCTAGCCCCCGTCATAAATACACAAGGGGACCCCCAAGATTAGGGGAAGTCCAACACCAGAGGGACTAACAAATCCCTCCCGGACTCCCTTTCGGCCAAAGGAATAGCAACCCCCTCGGTCGAGCCTGAAAGAAGGATCCCACACTCCTCGCTCAAAGAAGTAAAGAGGAAGTTAAAAAAAGAAAAAAAGAGGGAAGCCGACGGACTGTGCACTCACCGGCCTCGAGCAATGAAAATAAAATCTCCACAAATAAAGCCACATATTTGGCTAAGTACATATCAAGCAAACACTATGCATCATGGACGAAGCAAGACCATACATGCAGATCGGACGGGCGCCAACGCCTTATCCTTCATCAAAGGACGAGCATCGTCAGTGCCGTCCATCATCAGGCGGACGCCAACGCCTTGTCCTTCATCAAAAGACGAGTGTCACAAGCGTCGTCCTTCATCTTCAGACCGGTGTCAAAAGACTATTCCTTCATCATCGGACCGGCTTCATCAACGTCGTCGTCCTTAATGGAAAAGCGTCCAAATGCTGTCCTTCATTCTCAGACAGGCTCATCAGCATCCTCATCCTCAAAGGACAGGTGCCGAGCGTCGCCCTTCATCTTCAGACGACCGGCTTCATCAGCGTTGTTGTCATCAGGGGACGAGCGTCTAGCGCTGTCCTTCATCTTCAGACGAGCGCCCAACGCCGTCCTCATCATCAGACGTGCGTCCAAACGCCGTCCTTCATTTTTCAAATAGCCTCATCAGCGTTGCCCTTCATCTTCAGATGACGGGCTTCTTCAGCGTTGTCGTCATCAGGAGATGAGCGTTTAACAAAGTCCTTCATCTCCAAACGAGCGCCCAACGTCGTCCCTCATCTTTGGACGAGCATCCAAGCCTGGTCCTTCATCGTAGGACTGGCTCCGCCTTCCCTAATCCTCAGACGAGCGTCCAGCACCATCCTTCATCTGTAGACGAGTGCCCAACGTCGTCCTTCATCTTCAAACGAGTGCCCAGCGCCGTCCCTCATCATCAAACGAACGTCCAAGACTGGTCCCTCATCATAGGACCGGCTTCGCCATCCCTAATCGTCAGATGAGCGTCCAAG